CACCCAAACTCAGTCCCAGCGCCTGCACCCCTCACCCCTGCCTGCACCCCCACCCCCAGCCTGCACCCAAACTCAGTCCCAGCGCCTGCACCCCTCACCCCTGCCTGCACCCCCACCCCTTGCCCAAGCCCAGAGCCTGCACCCAGCACCCAAATTCCATCCCAGAGCCTGCACCCCAGACCCCCTCCCCCACCCAAACTCCTTCCCAGAGCCCAACCTCTCACCCTGCACCCCAATCCCCGTCCCAGCCCATGGCCTGCACCCCAGTTCACCTCTCCCTCCCAGAGCCTTAGGCAGGTGGGGGTGGAGTTTGGGGCGTGGAGTTTGGGGGGGTGTGGGTTCTGGGCACCACCAAAATTTCTACAAACCTGCCACCCCTGATAGTAACTGATGCTACTAAAGCCCAACTATGACATTTGGGTTTAGTGGAAAGTGTAAGATGTAGGGCTGGGAGTAGAAACCATGCTTGCTTACTGGTAAACATTTTAAATGTTTCAAAAAAGTGAAAAGTTTTTATCAAACTTGTTTGTTGCTTACTGAACACTAGCCAATGTAGCTATATTTTTATATTCATTAAAATTTCACTAATTTGCTATTTTGTAAATGTTAGAGGCATCACTTGATTAATCAGATTACTGACTGCTGGGTGTGTGTAGGTTTTGGAATTACAGGGTACTCCCCATTAACTCCTGGGAGCCCGCAGTTACTTTCATTGCCCCAGCACTCAGTCCACAAACCTTTCTAATTGACACTATGGTCCTCACAAATTGTGAACTATTGAAATCCAAGGGTGCTAGAGTCTGATCTTGCAAAGGGATCATAAACATAGACCCCTGCATCCACTTTAGTTCCTTTGACTTAGTAAGATTCTGCATAGGTTTAATGGTCAGTGACTGTGGATCCCTTTGAAGGATTATGCTGTTGGTGAGCAAACAGGGCCGGCTCGAGGCACCAGCCTGGCAAGCAGGTGCTTGGGGTGGCCGCTCTGGACAGGGGCGGCACGTCCAGCTATTCAGCGGCAATTCGGCAGACGGTCCCTCACTCCCGCTCGCAGTGAAGGACCTCCCGCCAAATTGCCGCTGCAGATCGCGATCGCGGCTTTTTTTTTTTTTTTTTTTTT